TTTCTTAGAACTATACAAAAGATGACCCTTCTAATATATATTTTTAGGTTCTTAACATGTCTCGATTTACCCAATAAGATTTCATTCTGATCACTTCGGGATGTTACAACCGCGGAAATTTTTTATGTGACCAAAATACGGTATTTAAGCTGAATATAAAAATCTTTTCTCAGAAACAGAAGCCGATTTTTTACTCTTTTCATTTTTGAATATTTTCCCTTACAGTTCAGACATTTGTAAATAATAATATTATTATTATTGGATTCTTCGGGTTGTTGTGAAACCCAAACTAATATTTACTGTAGTTATTGATTCTCACTCATCAAACTCACTCAAATAAATATATTGGCTACAGAAATACTAAAAATGGTAACTACCGTCAGAAATACTAAAAACGGTAATACTCTCTAGAAGGCCACCCTAGACTCGTACTTTGAGCTCAATTATCTCAATTTCCATAAGAGATATCAAAAAGTGGTCAACTGATAAAATGTTGGTAATAGTATGACTAACATTTTATCAGTTGACAGATTTTTTTATCTTTTATAGAAATTGAGATAATTGATCTCAGCTCATTAGAGTGTTTACGGCATCTTTCTTCAGAAACACTTTTTCCCCAGTTCACTGAATTTCTATTTTTATTCCTTTTCAGAATGTACATTGGACGTGAATTTCAACGAATTCTATGAGTGTTCTATGAATTTCAAAACATGCTAATCCCAGCTAGCCTAGTGTCCAGCAGAAGAGAGTGACCAGAACGGAGGGATGAGTATCCATGACAACTGAACCAGAAACACGTTCCAACGGCGTGAAGGACGTCGTCTTCGAAGCGGAAGGGTCATTTCTTCTTTTTTTCCATTTCACAAAGTGGTCGTGTGTGTCTCGATTTGCTCGCATTCATTCCCACTTAACGCATTCAATTCATTCATAGGCAAAAAATGGAGAAGTGTCGGTCATTTAGGCGCATCTTCTCACTTTTCTCCTGTTCATTATGAATCGTGACACATATAGGAAATCTTCTTGACTTGTACAGCTTGTCTCCTCCAAGATCTTCTGCTCCCTTTATATTCAAAGTGCCCCTCGAGTTGCTGCTTGATCCATTGTGCCATCTGAAAACAATTATTTCTCCCAGAATGCCCATCAAAAATTCAAATTTCGCGCCTTCTTTCTTCTTCTTTTCGTTTCGTACTCATCGCTTTTTGCTATCTCTATCCTATCTCATTCAAAATTCATCGGTTTTCGTTTTCGAAACGTAAAACCGCTACAGCAGTTCATCTCATTTTACTCGCTTTCCTTCTTCTTCTCGTTCTTCTCCTCCTGTTTTGTTGTTGTTTACTGCCCTTCTAAACTCTCATTCTCCTATTTTTCTCTGGTCTCTCTAAACTCTTCGAATGGACTCGCGGAGCCCCCGACTAAACATGGGAGGAGGAACAGAAAATGAGGGTGAGAGAATTGGTAGAAATCGAGAGAGGAAGAAGAAGAGGGACAAGTAGTTTCTGAGTCAGTTTTGAAACACACCCACATCCCCCCGATTTTCTTTTATTTTCTTTTTGATTTTTTTCTGCTTAAAAATTGCTAAAAAGGGCAAATATGTGTCACTATTCATTTATCTGTTCATTCGTTATTTTCTTTCATTTTTTGATAAGAACTGACTTTTTTTTTGAAGGGAAGTGTCAAAGAAACGGGTATCTGAATTGCGAAAATTTGTTTGTAATCTATGTGAGAAGCCTTTTTGAATATGAATTTATGATATACCAGCTAGCTGGTGCGCCTTCGACGCGGTTTTATTTAGTTACTTTACTGGTTCCGCGTCCACATAGTGACAGGGGGACCAAAAGATGCGTGTTGTTTGGAAAATTGGGGGATTCTTTTTTTTTTGTTGGCTGAGTATCAAACGTATAACGATGGACGAAAAAGTTGATTAAAAATACACATATCAAACTCATATGTGCACTTTGGAACTATTAAATTTCGTCAGGCCTGAAATTTATCTGGGGCACGATTTCTGACCTCGCCTTTTGGAACCCTGTGCCATCATAGAAGGTACTAGGAAATCTAAGTTTTGGCGGGGGCAAGTGTTGCCCCGTCTGTGGTAATCGCAATGCTCACATTTTCTTATAAGGATAACTATTTTGGATCAACCACGCCTTCTTATCAATCAACAAGTAACTGGATCAAACACGACGAATTTCTCGTATATAACGGATAACCACTCCCTCCGCGTTTAGGTATAAAACTGCTGGGTTATCTTACTATCGTGCAGTTTTTTCGTCTGTTATCAACACAGACCAAAATAGTAAAATAATCAGTTGAACGCCCATCATTTATTTTTTTAATTTAGTTCAGCTGAAAACAGACTTAAAATCTAAGACTATAATCGGAGTTTCTACCAACCTTTTCACAGTAATTTCTTTTCATCAAAACACTTCTAGGTGACCAATTATTCTACGGGGACAACCAGCGGGAAAAAGGGGGGTTCTAGCCGCCTCCTGTTTATTTATATTATGTGTGTTTCGTCTATTTCTCTGTGATCCTCTCTTTGAATTCTACGCTTTTTCTTCTCCAGGCGGTCGAATACTCATATATAATAACATCCTCTTTGCCTCTCTGATGATTCCGAAGAGGTCGGAATACTCTTTCTTTCTCTCTCTCTCTCCGTTACTATTATGTACTACTTGTATGAACATGCCCGGTTTTGTGGTTGCCGGGGTGGCCGAGATGGTTATACACCCCTATTTCGTGTCACTTTCATTTTTAGTACTTTTATGCATATCACAAGGTAATTGTACCTTTCTTTGAAGATTCAGGTAAACCAAAGCAATGTTCGAAAAGCATCTCGAAAACTGACCGGAATTTTGAGTATCTATTTCTAAAAATTTTAATAATACCTAGGTGTTAGAATTGTTTATTCTCTCTTCTAGGGATATTTCTAAGGAATCTTTCTTGCTGCTGGTTTAAAAATGTATTAGAACCCACTAATTCAGAGAATCTATTGAAACTTTGTTCATAAGATTATCGTAAACACTCTAATGGAGTGTCACCCAAACCGTCAAGTTCGAGCCAATTTTTCTCATTTCTGTGAGAGATATCCTGAAGTGGTCAACTGATAAACTATGTATACAGGGTGGCCGATAAGTATAGGACGTTTTGAAAGTGCTCCCATTTTTTCAATTTGAGGATTTTTCGAGAACAACCTTTATTAAACAACAAAAAATAAGCAGAAAATTTGATTTTACAAGAGAAATTCGAAGTTGGATCCACGAGCTTTGACACAGGCTCTCAAACGTTTCTTCACCGAATTGACAGTGCGCCGCAGGTATCCGTCGTCGATCGAAGCCCATGCTACCTCGAGAGCGGCCTTCAAGTCATCGACAGTAGCAAAAACTTTTCCCGCGATCTTCCCTTCCAACATGCCCCAAACGCTGAAATCCATCGGATTGAGATCCGGGCTGGAAGCAGGCCACAAGTTCTTGTCCAGGAATCCAGGGAAATGCGCCTCCAAGACGGCCAATGTCGATCTCGAGCCATGGGACGGTGCCCAGTCTTGTTGAAGGATAAATGGACCACCAGCAAAGTGCTGAGTGACCCAGGGTAACAAATTATCCATCAACACAATCTTTTGGTACACCTCCGAGTTGATTTTCACATTTCTTTCAATGAAAACCAACGGAGTTTTACCGGTTGCCGTGATACCGGCCCAAACCATGACACTTTTCGGGAAAAGGCGGTTATGGGCAAGACGACGTTTCGGAGACATGCTGTCATCCTTTGACAATAACTGTCTCTGGTTTTGACGGTTGAGAAGAGGTTCAATAGTGAAGATCTTCTCGTCTGTCCAGATAACGTCAGAGACGCGGCGCACTTGAAAGTGCTGGAGTAATTTTCGGCATTTTTCGAGTCGCATCGCTTTCGATTTGTCCGAGAGGTACTGTCCACGACGTAGTTTGTAACTTTTGAGCTTCAAGTCGTTCTTGACAATCGATTGGACAGTGGATCGGGCAATTCCAAGCTGTGACGCCATCCTATTGAGACTCAATCCATCATTTCGAATGATCCGTTTCTTGATGATTGCACGAGTATTCCGGGTGTTGACAGAACGTGGACGTCCGCTTTTTTTTACTTCAGAAGCATCTCCTCGCTTTTTGATAGCAGCGACAACGTTTCGAACCGTCGAAGACGAAATTTGAAGGCGTCGAGCGATCTCAGCACTTCCGAGGCCTCTCTTGAACAAGAGTTCAATGGAAGGACGATGAGGAGAACTTTTCATAGCTCGGCGATATGGAGAAGTGAGAACAAATGACTGAGAAGCTTACTTATATAGTCTCTGGACTTTCGAAAAGTTTCGAAATTTTTCGAAAATATCCCTTGGCACCGTGCCAGGGAACGCTGAAAGCGAGCGTCCTATACTTATCGGCCACCCTGTATATGATAAACATTTTAACAGTTGGCCACTCTTTGACATTTTTACAGGAACCAAGATAAACTTGCTTAAAGTTGAAAGTTAGATGTGACGTTCTATTAGAGTGTTTATGGTAAATTCAGTTTGTTAAAAGTTCGGTCCAAAAACTATTTTTAATGGTTTTACAATAATATAAATTGGTTAAGGTCAGAATAGGTCCACTTGCTGTCTATTTTTTTCCAGAACAACTGGAATCCATGACGTTCCACAGTTCTCGTCCAGTGCTTCTTCCATTCCTTCGAAATGAGCGGTCTTTTGATCATAATTGCACGGAAACCGTTTGTTTATCTGTTATGTAATGTGTATGTTCTCGCCCTGAAACAAGAATCAAAACTAGAAGAAAAAGAAACAATTGGCTTACTGCCTATTACGTGTGTGCTTCAAACGTTCCGGCGTCCCTTCCCGCCGGCTCCGCCCCCTTTTCCCTCTTTTTTCGATTCCTCGCATCAGTTTTGATCACTTCTACAAACACATTCATGCCCGTCCGCTCGACTCTCTTGAGATGAGTGATTGGTCATCAAAAATTTGCCTTGGAACTTTATTCCATCCAATCTGATTTACCGTTTCCCTCTCGAAAAAACACATTTTCCAATTTCCCTGTTACGTCTTCTTTTTCTCTTCCCAGCCAATAAATCATGATGCTCTTCCCAAAATAAGAAGTGTCGCCTTCTCTTCTTCCGGAGCACTTCTTCAATTCTAAATCCAAACAAAACGAGATGGCACCATCTAGATTTTTCACTTCTTTCTTTTCGGTTCCTCTTTTTTTGAGCCACTTGAAAATGTGAAAATTGGCTATAAGGTGTGTTGAGAGGTGATCGAAAAAAGAATGAAATCGAACACATGAAATCGGAATGGAATGGGATAAGAAGTGTAAGAAGAGAAGAGAAAGAAATTGATTTTAGTTTCTTTGTTTCTTACTAGTTGTAAAATTGAAAAGCTCGAATTCTAAATACTGTAATCACTAATAAAAAATCACCCGAACTGCAAACTTTGAGCTCATATATCACGGTTCCCGTGGAAGATATCAAAAAATGACCAACTGACAAAATGTTCATCGTCACATCAAATGTATTTCATCAGTTGACTATTTTTTAATATCTCTCACAGAAACCGAGATAAATAGGCTTGAAGTTGAAGGGATGTGGCCTTCTATTAGAGTGTTTACCGTATTTTCTCTAATAGAAGCCCATCCTAATCGTCAACTTTATGCTCAATTATCTTGATTCCTGTAAAAGATATAATAATTTTTTCAACTAATAAAATGTTTGTGAAAATATGATAAACATTTTATCAGTTGACAAAATTTTGATATCTTTTACAGAATCGAGATAATTGAGTTTGAAGTTGACGATTTACGGCGGGCTTCTATTAGAGAAAATACTGTGCGTTACTCTGTTTTCTTTGAGTAAATGCATCAATATTGTTTTTTTTTTTCAAATGAAAAAAATTCATCTGAAAAGTTTTCAGCATACATTGTAAGCTCCTTGTTGCTGAAACCTTTGAATTGGATCTCGAAAATTGGGGAATTCCTGAATTTTGTTTTCCATACTTTTCACCTCATCGGCCGAATATGAACAAATGAAGTGAACAATAGAGAAATTTGAGATCAATATTCTACAGTTCTGTGCACGCTCTCCCACAGAACATTTCCGAACTGCAAATTAATTATTGATCTACCGAAAAAAAATTTGGCGCGATCACAATTGCAGGCCTAAAGCCGTATTTTCAAGATTTTTTTATCTTATTTCGTGAAGATTTTAGACGATTCAAATAATTCCCAAACAATTAATCAGGGGTTAAAGCATTCTTTATGATCCTTTTCCGGAAGAAAATATTCCAAAAAATGCCAATTTTCAAGATTTTTTACAGAAAAAATGTATCTCCTCTTTCAGTTTTCAACATTTCTAGGAGTTTTATATCTCAAAAGA